AATTTGCAAATATTACTATGAGAGAAGGTCCAAGGCTTGCATGGCTGGGAGAGAGACTCCCTCGGGTGTCTTGAGTGAAACCCAGCCCCAGGACCCTGCTGGAACCCCAGGACCCTGCAAACAGCCCTGGATGCCTGGTTCCTCTGAACCCAGGCAAACACTGTGCCTGAGGTTGTTTCACTTCATGGCTTCACTGACCACCAAGTAGGTCACTTGTTAACTTTGAGCGAGTGTCCTGGAAGCTACACTAGAAGGCTTTGCACCTCAATTCAGGATCTGCAGCATCAGATCAGCCTTTCAGCCCCACTTTTCCCATCACAAGCTCATCACTTATGTTGTCATTTCGATGAACATGGTTGAACATGGGCGTCCAGCGCCTAGTCTCTGTCCTCACTGCACTTTGACCATCACGGTTCCCCACTTTGCATAACTGTTCCAGTTTAGCTGCCCGACACCCTTTCTACACAGTGCTGATGGTGGGGTGTGGCGCACCCCTACCCTGCACCTCCAGATCGGCTTGGGCCGAGGCCACTGGCTTAACAGAAGATGGAAATTGGGGATTTGAAGGATGATTTCTATTGAACTCTGGATTTTTACACCTGAAGCCGAAAATTCTAAGTTGAACCATAAACCTGGGACTGTCTGTATAGAAAGCGTGGCCTGAACTCTGGGTACCTGCCCTTTGGATGAGAGCTCCAAATGGTGCTCCCCAGCCCCTCAGGCCCACTTTCCCTCCTCTGAGCTGCTGCAGTTGCACTAGGCGGCCACACGGAGACACTGTGGGCAGCCCTTTCCCCCTGCAAGGAGGATCTGTGGCCCTGGCTTGGACTGGGCTGGGAGCCTATCCCTTGGCCTGCTGGCATGAATAGCCTGCTTTTATTTTTATTTTTAAACCAGATATAGGTCTCACTGAGCCACATTCCCAAATCCTTTTTCAGTTTTTACATTTTGGGACAAGAATTTGCGAAATTGCTTAGCAGCCCAGACTGGGCTTGAATTTGTGGTCCACCTGCCGCAGCCTCCCCAGTTGCTTGGACCCCAGGCGAGCAGGCAGACCTTGCTTGTTTCCTGCAGAGTCCATCTCTCCGGCTTGCAGTCTTTGGTGTGGAACTCACCAGGTCCCCAGAGACCTGGGCTCACAGGACCAGGTGTTCCCCTGCCATTGGCCTGGAGGGATCCCCTCCCAGAAGCAGACACAGTCCCCTCCTCCTCACTGCAGGAGTCCCTGTCCTTGTCCCCTCCCCCTCCTCGCAGGAGTCTCAGGTCCCCTTCCCTTCCCCACAGGTGCCCACTTCACCTTTGAGTCCCCCATCCCGTCCTCCCTCGCCTCCCTTATCGAGGTGACCCCTGCTTAATCCTTCTGGACCAGACTTCTCACTACCTGCCAGTGGGCTGTTAGGTTTCAGGGACTTCTCTGTGTCCAAGCCCTGGCTTGCCCCTCTCCGGGCCCCTCCACAGGTCAGAGGGTCTCTGAGGACCCAGAAACACATCGGGGCTCCACAGTTTGGATGGGGCCTAGCCTACTCTGCCCTGGGACTGTGAGTGACCTTGGGCCACACCCTGCTCCAGTGGCAGGGGAAGTTGCTGGTTCCCTGCTGTGCGTGTCTCCCTGGCTTGGGAGGCAGGCAGGCAGGCAGGCAGGCAGGCAGGCAGGCAGAGAAGGGAGCTGGGGGCAGCAGTGGCCACACTCTGCAGAGCCTGTGGACCCCCCTCCTGCCCACACCCACCTGGCCTCCTGGGCCTCAGAGCTCAGCCCTCCTCTCTCCACCTGCCTGGTCACCGCAGTCAGAGGTAAAAACAGGGTGGTTGTTCTGGTCCTTTCTCCTCTAGAAGCCTAGATGGGGGAAGGTCCCATCGCCTGAGCTGGCTGTGTCCATGCCCTGTCTGTCCTGGATGTGCACTTGGCCATGGCCACTTCCCACACTGTCCTGGTGCTGTAGGGGAACGAAACTTGCAGCCTACTAGATGTCCAGTATGAGTTGGTGTTCTCTAAAATCCAAGAATGAATTTTAGGAACAATGGAGGTTAAGAGCGGAAATGTTTATTGAGCGCATGAAAGCTTGACTAAGAGAGAGACAGAAGGGGTCCCAAGCAGGTTGCCAAAGATGCTGTCTTTTCTAGGGACTTCTATAGAGCAAAACCATGAAGTGAGATGGGTCCAAGATGGGGAAAAATGGGAACTGACAAGGTGGGCATAAGGTTGGACAGAACTATGGTCAACCACTGAGATTAATTTCCCAGGTAAAATGGATCAGATTTCGGGGAGAACTGAGGAAGCCAGTCATGTAGCAAGCAGGTGTGAATATATAGAACAGTGACTCTTCCCGTGTCGGGCTGGGGCAGTGACTCCCGGCTTCCTCTGGGTGATCTGTACCTAGTTAGAATATCAGTCCCTGATGTCTAGACTCAGGGTGTGATTGCATTTGTTTTGCCTTTTGTCTAGAGATCTGGCCCGAAGCAGAAGTGTCTGTCTCCCCTAAGGTTGCAAGCTATCTAGTCTTCTGCATGCCTCCCTCAATGGCCCAGCCCTGTCTGACTGCCTGTAATATTTCTATCCAACTCGGCCGCCTGTAACACTGGCTGCAACTCTGCTGCTCGCTGGGTTTCTGTCCGAGTCTCTCTTGGATCCATTTCCAAGGCTGTGGATCTTCAGAAGTGCAAGTAGCATCTGGGTCCCCTGTCCAAACTGCACGAGGGTGTTCTTGGGCCTAGTGGAGCACGTGAAGCCACAGCCGGGCTTGTGGCCTCCATGGTCTCTTCTGTTTGACCGCAGCCCCTGCCCTTCTTCCAGGCATCACTGTGGCCCAGTCCAGGAGGGATACTCCCCGCCCTCTGGGCTTCCCCAGCCTTGCACCTGCCTGGTAAACCTCGGGTCCACTTGCAGAGTGCCCTTGTTCCTCCCATGAGTGTCCCTGTCGGCAGGGGTGCCCCTGTCGGAGGGGTGTCCCTTCTTGGGCCCTCAGCACCTGTGCCCCCACTCACCCATTGCTCACAAAGGGCTTTTCCTCCCCAAGCGCCAGCTCTGGAGGGCAAGACGTGCTGCCCCAGCTCCAGCCCAGCAATCTGGGATGCCCTCTGCTACCTGCCAGAAACCAATGGATGGTTGCGCTTGGCTGTGTGGCTGTGTGCCTGTGACTGCATGGTTTGCTGTGTGACAGCCCATAGGTGAAAAATTCGTCCATTCTTGAGGGAGGGAAAACTGAAAGCCAAGCGGATAAAAAGTTGTCCTAGGCCAGACAGGGAGCCAGCCAGCAGCAAAATGTGCCTGTCAGTGTGGTTCCGTCTCCGTGGGGCTGTAAACCCCCGAAGCCTTGTTGTCCATGGGGCCTGAGCTTTAGGGTTTAGTGTGCAGTGTGGGGACCACAAAGCCTGCCTAGGGCTTTTGATCTTGCTGGGCCCTGCACTGTGGTGCAAGGAGGTTTCTTGAGGTGTTGTGTTTGGTGTGCGGGCAGCTGGGGGCTGGGACCGGGTTTGCCACTTGGAGTGGCTTCTTGGGTCTCTGGGTCTCTCCAGAGGGTTGTAGCTCATCTTCAGCTGCTGCCCCGAATGCCTAGCACTGGAGCCCTGGGATGGGAAAGAGGGATACTGTGTCTTGTCGACTGCAGAGCAAGATGGGGAGGGGACAAGGAGCGGAGCTGCTTTAAGGAGCCAACCCATCCTGGGGATACTGACCTGGCTGCAGGACGCTTGTCCCTCTAACAGGTCCCACCTTTGACCCACTACTGTCAGCCCAGGCTGCAGCATGTGCTGTGGTGGAAAGAGCCGCATGCACTGTGGCACAGTCTCAGGCTGGGCCTCACTCGGCCCTGGCTGCAGCTCCCTACACACCCAGAGTGGCTGGCCGAGTTCTCACAAGACACTTGACTGGGGACTGAGCTTTTCTCTGAGCTGTTACCCAACCCTTTTGTTTTTATCCTGAGACAAGGGCTCCCTAAGTCACCGAGTTGTGAGACTGGGCAGAACTTGTGCTCCTCCTGCTTCAGCCACTCAGAGTGCTGCTGAGATGGCAGGTGTGCTGCCACGCCTGGCTCTTGGGTCCCTTTAGAGACGATGCCCATTACCTTCTTCATTAGGGTAGAGGTGTTTATTTGTTTTACTTCCCAGCTTGCTGTGGGTTCTTTTGTCATTTCTCTGTCCAGTGTAGGGCCAAGCACAGAGCTGAGTGCTTAACTGGGTGCTTCCAGTCCTCCAGAAATTCGTGATGTCTGCAGCCATGTTCTGGCCTGAGTTTCTGCAGTGAGCAGACCAGAGATACTTCACCAGCCTGGTGGAACACATGGCTGGCTGGGGAGCCTATCTGCTATGGCCTGGAGGCAGGGCCACAGATTCCTTCCTAGGGTGGCCCGAAGGCCAGAGCATCCCAGACCCTGTGGAGGACAGCACGTCCTCCAGCACCAGGGTGACTGCTTGTGTCCTCCAGGCGCTAACAGGATGCATCCTGCAGGTGGTCTCAAGTGTGACCAAGGAGGAGCTGCTGCTAGGAGGCCCTCCCTCCCCAGGGAAGCTAGGCAGGCTCAGGAGTGTGCTTGGAGTCCAGAGCCAGGCGGGCCTGGGAGGCAGCTGAGGAGGAGCCAGTTTTGGGGGCCTGGACTGCAGTGGGTATGGCTCTTTTCTCACTCTAGACTTCTCTTTTGAGTTTCAGAAGCAGTAGCAATACATACACTCGTGTGCACAAATGCACTCATACACGCAGTCATATGTGCATGCACACTCGCACATACAATGCACTCACACACACATGTTTCAAGCCCACTTGTTTGTGACAGGGCTCTGCCTTTAGAAACAAGGTGGAAGGCCTGAGAGAAGGCGGTGCTGGAGTCTTGAGAGTGTGGAGTGACAGTTACCCAAAGATCCCCCGAAGCATGTTCTGTCAGGAGCCCCAAGCCTCTGTGGATCCCACGTGGCTGAATCCCCAGGTTCCTGAACTGTGCCCTGGCCAGGCTTGTGCAGTGCACAGCCTGGGCTGCAGGTCAAGGCTGACAGTGTCTCTCCCGTTGCAGTGCGCAGGATCAAGGCGGCCGATGAGGAGTGGAGCCTGCAAGCCCGACGTGCCTGGGACGAGTATCGGCGCCACTCACTGTGTGCCATCCAGAAGGGCACTGTTGCCGGGCTCAGCTGCATGTTCCAGGGCCTTGGCCAGAACCATGAGCAGGAGGCAAGGCTCCACCACCCACTTCCAAGCTCTGGCCCCCCACTACCCCGTGCTGTGCCCATCAGGTGAGTCTGAGGCTCTGGAGGACCCTTGAATCTGGGGCGGGTGCAGAATGGGGCTCCCACGGGCACTCACTGGTCCTCTCCCCTCTGCAGCCTCAGGGTCTCAGGATGTTTGATGTCGTGATGGGGGTGGAACGAGGTAGGGTTTGCAATTCTCATGTTTAAGCTTTTAAACTCAGAGACGTGCAGTATTTCACCATTTTACTGCTGGTATTTTCTTCCTCCACTTTAATCATGCAGTATGAGTGCATGATAATTGCAATGATGCTGGGATTCACTGTGGTGCCTTCACACAGGCATGGAGCTTGCAGGTCTGGGTGTTTCTAACACCTTTGGAGTTCTGCGAGTCTTCGAACCTCCGGGGTGTAGGATTCCATTGGTGATCTAAGGAAGGCTGTGCACCCTCTTCCCCTCAAAATGTGCAGCTATGAATACACCAAATGTCTGCATGCCATTTCACGCTGCTAAAGGCCCTTGGACCCAGGTTAGGGGCACGTGATACAGGGCCTGAGTGGGTTAGGTAGGACCCAGGATCCCAGAAGTAGGCCTCAGGACCTTTCTAACATGAACAGTGATAGTCTGAAACAGGATGAATGGAGGGCCACAGATCAGTGTGGGGGAAGCCTGGTGGGGGGCTCTGGTTTGTGTCCCCAGGGGTCACCTAGGTGACAGTCCATGAGTGCCAGGATGGATGACCAATAGACCATGGAGGCCTTTGGGTTCACCCATCCCCACTGAAGGCCCCCTCCGCTTCCAGCCCACTCACCATTGCTAGGCAACCAGCACCCTGGGGAGGCCCAGGGCCTGTCTGGAGGGTCAGTTCACGCCCGGAAACAGGTGTCAGAGCCTGCTGTAGTGAGGGATTGTGTTTAGGCTTTGCCGACCACATCCTCATGTCTTGTGTCCTCCTCTCTTCTGTCCCTTCCTTCCCTGGCCTGTGTGAGGCTCCAGCCAGGAAGCTGAGAGAGGTGCAAGCAGCCAGGACACTGTCCTTGGGTCCCATCTCCCCAGCTCCCATGCGTCCTGCGCACTTTCCCTGGGTCCTGTCACCTTGGGTCCCATGTGCCCAGAATGCTTTCCCTGGGCTCCTTCCCCCTGGCTCCCTCTGCCCTGGTGATTATGGCTCTTATAGTGTATGTGTCCTCCCACTTTCCCTCTGAAAGTGCCGATCTGAACAGTCTGGTCCCGGGCCTCTTTTGTCATTGCTGCCTGGCAGCAGGCTTGTGCTGTAAATGATTTATTAAATACCTATCAGTGGACATCAGTGGTGTTGCACAGCTTTTGTTACCTCCAACAGTGCCTGAATGAATTACCCTGTAGAACTTAATCACATCCACATGCACTGGTTAATGCGAGAGGAAGTCTCCCCAAATGGGGGTCTCTGCATGCTCTGCCCAGGGTTTGTACTAACTCACAGCCCTATTCTTTGGACTGGTATTATAATCCCCAATATTGAATACTGTAAAATAAGTATTGTAGTCCCTTTTCCAGGCCTCCTCACAATCCAAAAAGTTATATTTCTAATCCCACTGAGATATTACTGGCATCATGACAGGTTGATTCCTGTCTACTACCTCCAATGCAACTCACAGTGACAATAAGACACAAAGATGTATTCAAAGGTAAGGGCAGCCACAGGTCCTAAGCTGAATTCCCATGAAGATACGTAGACAAAGGCCCTGGTCCCAGAGACTTTTATCTTGTGAAGAAGGAGGTGTTCTCGGAGGAGTGGCAGTGAGGATGCCGGAAACTATGTGAGGAACTTGAGCTGGCCAAGTAGACAAAAAGCATCTCTGAAAATGCAGGGACGATGACACGCAGAAGGATCGATCTGCATAATCCCATTAAAGCAGCAGCTGAGCTGTTTTTTGAGGCTGTTGCTTCAGTTTCTGCTCTGTAAACTTCTGTGCCCCAGGGAGTCATAGCCTCTTGCTTTGAGGCTCATGTCTGGCTGACATTCCCGGAACCAGTGGCTCTGCTGTCCCACCGTGCTCATATCTTTTACTGTGTGAGGAAAAGGAGACTGTCTGATGCCTTTAGGGACTACACACCAGTATCTCCGCTAGCCTTATTTGCAAAGCTTGGAGCCAATTGAAGAGAGAAGGAAATACAGTAGTCTGCCCCGTACATATCAGTGTATGAAAATAAGCCTTGATATAATCAATGTTGCAGCAATTGTTCTGCATTCAAGGGGAGTCTCTCAAATTGTCTCCTACAGACTGGCCCCCAGTGTGTTGTCAAACTCTGGTTCTGGTTTAAACTTGTGCTTTTATTTGTGAGTCTATGTATTTTTGCATGTTTATGGATCATTGGGGTTTCTTTACCTGATTCCCTATCCATTTTTACATGATGTGAGTAGTTTTTCCCTTAAGCAGTTCTAGGAATGCCTTACACATTAGGGAAAAGGATTTTTTTGTTTGCAGTAAATGTCTTTACTCCATTTGTTGCTTGTATTTTAACCTTCGTGATGGAATTTTCCAGCATGTGGGAATTCTTGAGTTTGTGCGGCGTTACTATTTGAGAACTAGCTGGAGGGTATAGTTAGTGTGTGAGTCGGCCTTCCCCTCCCTGGGACAGAACACCTAGCACCCACAGTTTGGAGGAGAACTGGTTCTATTTGGGCCCCAGCTTCGGTTTCCAGCACTGGGTTGCTGGCTCCGAGGCAGAAGCAGCATGGATGATGGCCGGGAGAGAAGCCTCCCGCCTGTGGCAGCCAGGTAACAGGGAGAGGGAGAGGGGAGTGCAGGAGACAAGAGCCCATCCTTTTCGCCATGTCCAGGTGACCCACTGCCTCCAGCGGGGGCCTACCACCCAGCAGCAGTGAACCGAGCTTATCCTCGGATGGACCTGCAACCAGCACAGCGCTCCCAGACCCCACCGTCCTCCAAACGCTGGGGTTTCCGGACCTTTTGGTTCACAGCTCTAAGGGCATGGTTAGAAAAGCCCTCCTCCGCTTTCTGCTTTCGAGGATAAAGTGTCTGTCAGTCCACGTGGTGGCGCTGCAGGAACCACAGCACAGCCAGAAAAGGGAGGGGGGGGGGGGCTCAGTTTGAGCCTGGAGAGGCCCAAGGGTTCCCAGGGGTGGACACAGACACGCTACTGCTGCCCAAGGTACAGGAGCACCCAGGCTTGTGTTTGGGGGACCAGAGTTTCTGCTTGGAAAGGTAGACACTCAGTGCTTAGAGCAGAGCCCTCAGGAGCCGGTTTCCTTTGCTGATGTTTATCACTTGCTGCTGCTGGAGCTGCAGTCCTGAAGTGGCAGGGATCTTCACCCATGGTGTAGCTGGTTTTGGGGGATGCGAATGTGGGAGAAGGGATGGAGCAGGGCCGCTGCTCAGTAGGGCAAGGAGGCCCTGGGCCCCTGAGAGGGAAGGGAGAGGTTCCCAGGGGAGGAGAGAGGAGAGTGGTGGGCTGCAGGCTCTTGGTGGGTGGGTAAGGCTGAGCCTGGAGGGGACAGGGCACCAGGTTAGAAGTCCACACTCTCACCTGGTGCTCTGTGGTCCGGATATGGTATGAGTGTGTCTGAGCCCATGTGGTGCATGTGTGGGCTTGGTTCCTAGTGTCAGTGCATAAGCAGTGCCCTGTGGCAGTCCTCACCTCATGGGGAGGGCACCTGGGACATGGGTTAAGGCAGCTCATGTGCAGAGTAAGAGTGTTCCTGGGGAGCCAGTCCGTCTAAAGGCCTGAGCCTGATTGCAGTGTGTTTTCTGCTTGGTCAGGTAACCGCTTCCCTTTGCATGCACTCCTGTATCAGTGATGCCATGGACAGCAGGCCCTCCAGATCCTGGACCAGCTAAAACCTCTCTTCTTCCTGTGCATCCGGCCCTGGCTGTTTTGTTACAGTACAGAAAACTGACCAACAGTGTGGCTGTGAGCTGTGTGCCCTGCCTTTTCTCCAGCATCTTTCCTGAAATCTGTGGTGTTTAGGCCTCTCTGTGTGTTGTGCTTACACGTGTGTGTAAGTGGGCCTATTGTGAGATGCTGTTAAGCTCTTCAAAGGTCAAAGTGTCTTCACAGAGCAAATATGGTTTATTTTATAAAAAATGTTGGATCTTGTAACCTGAGCAACTATTTCTAAGAGAACAATATGCAATATATTAACTAGTATTAAATTTCTTACTATTTTTTGAAATTCTGCATTATTTATATCCTTTTTTCTGTTTTGCTTTAAAAAAAGATGACAACAGGGGTGACTTCAAGTGCTAATCCTTCAGGGAAACAGCAAACACAAAATTGGATTTTCTGTCTCCCATCCCTCTTTCAGAGGAGTGAAGAGGGCACTTTCGCTGCCAAGAGACCACAGTCTCCTTCAGACACTGCATTTCCGCCCCATAATGCGAGGTTCCGTGGTCTTGCTGCCCTGCAGCTTAGTGCTTGGTGGGGGCCTGTCCCGTCCTGGGCTGGGCTGTCGCACTCACCGTGTGCCCATGTGCACCGTGGTCCTGGGTGACTGGGGCTCTGTGCCCCTGAGAGCCTCCGTGCAGACATGAGGCTCCCTGTGAGGTGACCTAGTGTGGCCCTGAGACCCCTCACCTGCTTCTGCTCGTCCCTCCGGGGGTTCCCGGTCCCTCATGTCCCTCTGGGCCAGGGATACCAGTGAGCAGTTGTGCTCCCTTCCCTCCCCTTTCTTCAGCTCTAGTCTCTTTACTTTCTGGGAGTCGAGGTTCTGTGCTTTCTCTTTCTGCTCATTGTCGTGATCCTGCCTTGTACAAGTCTGACTGGCTGGAAAGGCAGGAGTCCCTACAGAAGGCGGAGTGGGGGCCCCAAACCAGGACTCTCCTTGGGGGGGGTACAGGACACCTACACAGTAGATTTGCCCTGTCCCCTTGGGACCGTCTTCATCGGTGCTGATTTTCACGCCTAGCAGTCCTCCTGGGGAAAGCATCTTTTCCCACTGCAGACCTCTCCTCCTGACCTCTTTTCACTTTTCCTCAAAGTGAGTGCTAGCTATCTTCATTTTGTAAAAATAATTGTAGCTGCTACATTTGCAAAGTGCCTTCAAGTACCCAGACTCACTGAGTCCCCTTCATGGGCCTGAATCCACCACGCATTGTGCTTACTCATTCTTAGGGGCACCCCCTTCTCTCCCTCTGCACTGCACTCTAACTCCCCCATCACTTCTCTCTGCTCAGTGGAACGTGGGAGCGACCCCTGCGTCCAGTCTCCAGAGAAGTCATTGTCCGCTGGTTTAAGGAGGAGCAGCTGCCTCGTCGGGCTGGCTTCGAGAGAAACACCGAATGCATCGCGCCCTGGTTCCATGGTAGGATCTCTTTGTGGGCCCTGGGGCAGGATTGTCCATGTATCTGTGTCTCCTGCATGGACAGGAGGTCTTAGAGGAAAGCTGTAATCAGGGGATAGGGCTTCAGGCTCCAGCTGCCTCTCCTCTGCTCCCTACAATTCCAGCAGGAGTCCCCAAACTCAGGGTGCACTTAGCTGCCTCTGTCTGCGGGGAAGCAGGTGAACAAGAGTCCTGTCCACTGCTGGCCACATGTGACCCCATGGCCAGCAGAGCTCCTCTGTGGTAGCTTCCTTGGATTCAGAGCACAGTGAATCTGCAGTGGGCCCAGAGCTGTCTGAATGGAGCCTCTGGGTCCAGGCGGGGCCTGGCACAGGTGGTCTCTGGACAGATCCTTGCTCCACATGGTAGATGGTTGGATAAGGAAGTCCAGGCACCCAAACAGAGCACTGGAGCTGGTAGGCTCCATGGAGGCCTTTCAGTCCCCTCATGACAGATGAGAAACTGAGGCTTAACGAGGGAAGGAAGTTTTAATAAGGTACCAGGAGAGAGGTAAAGTCAAGTTCCAGAATGGGTCTTGAGGGTTGTGAGCCCAGTCCAGTGATGTGACTATGCAGTGGCCTCAAGCAGGGAATCAGGGCTATGACTTTGCCCTAGATTTGCTACAGGGAACCAGGAATGGCTACTGGCTGTGAGTCCCCTCTGTATGGGTTAGCTAATGCTGCATGACAAATCATCTCCAAACTCAGTTGTTTAATGGAAGTAAACAGGTATTATGTATTCAAGAATTTCTGAATCAACTGGGAGGTTCTTCTAGCATGTCTTAGCCTCAGGTGACTGAGCTGCTGGCAGGTCAGTTGGGATACTCTCAGCGGGGCTGCTCCCTTCAGTCCCTGTGTTGCTCATCCTCCTGCACCTGGCCCAGGCCCTCAGTCTCCTCTGCAGGAGCTGCAGAGTGCTTAGCTCCCCGAGCCTCTCCCTAACCAGCTCGGGTCTGCCTACAATATTCCAGTCAGAACTGGCCTTGCCCTCATGGTCACACCCTGTCAACCCACGCCTGTCTCTGCTTGCCTTCTGTTGCTCTGGAAGCTTGATTGGCCTCCACGCTGGCTGGCAGCCAGTGGTTTCTTGAGGGCTGACAGGCAACCAGCAATGGCGGGCTCCAGGGTCAGTTCTGGACATGGGCTGGCTCCACAACAGGCAGCTGTGGCTCTGAGAAGAAGCCACACAGGTTGGCAGCTCCAGCTGCACCCCTGTGCCCTTCATTCCCAGAGCTGGGCAACTTGTGCAGCAACAGGCTCACCCTATAGACCAGACACGGAGGTGTGGCACTGTGGTCGGCAGCTGAAGGTCACACGGGCAGCAGCACCAGCAGTCCAGGCTGCAGGAGATCCTCAAGGGCTGGCGCCTTTCGCTCCACAGTTCACCTTCCACCCACCGCCCGAGGCTTTTCCCAATATTCTCCGGCCCCCTTGCTGCCCTGCTCAGTGCCCTCTACTCCCCACCCCTGCAATGAGCTCTGAGCCCCAGGGCACGGCCCCCTCTACCCCAGCCTCATGCTGTGACCACTCTTTGCCCACTTACCCTCGGCCCGCTGGCCTTCTCTGTCCTTCAGGCGAGCCTCCCTTCTCTCCACTGCAGGCCCTTTGTCCTTGCTGCTGCTCTGCTACTTTTGCTGTCTTTCTGCAGCTCTTTGCCTGGCTGACGCGTTCTTGTTTTCGTGTGGAACAGTTTCTTTTCTGAGCTCCTCGCCTGCAGCACATGCGCACCCCAGTGGGACTCATTTCATTGTTCTCTTGGCTGCAGGTTAGCTCCTGGGACTGAGCACCTTGTCTGTGTGCCCAGTACCCACAGAGGGATGGCAGAGGGGGCAAATGAAGGGTCAGAAGTGGGATTAGGCTTTTGTGCCTGAAGAAATATCCTTTGCTTTCCCGTGAGGGGTTCTGGGAGGTGTGCAAGTCCCATCAGCAGCTGAGAATGATCCAGAAACCAGGAAATGTGCTGGAGAGGCTTAGCTTCTCCCCTCTGTTGGCTGTGTGCTCAGTGGGCCAAGGCTGCTGTCTCAGCACCTGTGTGCCTGCCTCACCTGCCTCCCATCTGCCCAGGCCAGGTGTAGAAGTGCATCTAAGGCAAGCCCACTGTCTCCATCTGCTGTCACTGGTGAGCTCCCAACTCCACGGACAGAAGCCTGTTGGGCAGGTCACAGTGCCTGGGCAGGCTTGGTTTTACCCTTGTAGCATTTGTGCCTGAAAAGACAATGACTCCAGCCATGAGCTACTTCTCACCCGTGTCTCAGGCCTACTGGAGCTGGGTGAAAGAGCTGAACGAGGGCCTCAGACCAGGGAGCTGTTCCCTTGGAAACTCCGATGGCTCAGGGAAGACAGAAAAGCAGGACTCTGCAAGCCGCACCAAGCCCGAAGCTTCTGCACAGGTGCAGGATTTCCCCATCCAGCGCCGGCCTGGGGTTTTCAGTGACAGGAGGATCTGTTATAACCGCCACCCACGGTTAGACCTCTGCCTTTGCCGAAAGCCTGAAGAGGCTCCGAGGCTTGGAAGATGCCAGTGTTCGAAGAGCCTGAACCCCGGTCCCTCGAGTGGGTCTGGGATTCCTGCCTCCCACTTGTGTCATGTTGCGCGTCCCTCACCCCTGCTGGAGCTCCCATATGAGTCACTGCCTTTCCCTGATTCATACATCATCATCATTGTGGTGACAGGCACGACACAGGGTGCAGCTCGACTGTCCTGAGAAGGGCATTGGCAGCTGCATCTGGGCTCAGTGGGGCTTTGACAGCCGAACAGGAAGGCACAGTAGAGGTGCTCAGATTTATCTTTAGTTTTATTTTCTACTTGATGGGGGAAAAGGTAACTTTTATATTGTTACAGAACAAACAGAACTAAGATGTGTCACAATTTATGTAACTGACTGTATGTTCTCCTGACAGCTTTACCCTAACGCGATCTGCACAGCTGCTAATCTGCTGGACGGAGCTGTTACCTGACGGGGTTTCCTCGCTCTGTGACAGAGTGAAAGGAGAGGCTCGTGTCTGGAGAAGTGCCAGGTGTCCTTGCTTGGAAAGGACTTGATGCATTTTAAGATTATAGCCTTAGTTTTACTGTGAAACTGTCTTACCTTTTATGAGATGGTGGTGCTGGTAAATGGTGGTTATTTTTACATACTGTCTTTGCAAAGGAAAAGAAAATGTTACCAGCTTTCTGTTGGTTCCTGAAACTTCTACTTTTAATAAATTGGAACAACAGGTATGCTCTAGCTTTCTGTCCAGCAGAGGAATTCCCTGAGGGAGGAGGCAGGGCCCCTACCCAGTCCTTACGGTGACAGGGAGCTTACTGCCCCTCAGGCACCTTGCACCAGCCTAAGTGCCAGGGGTTTTTGATGCTAGTGGGCAAGACTCCACTCCCTGTGTTTTTAGAGCTGGGCTTCTTAGCAGGGAAGGCTACGATGCTCCCCTCTCCTGCTCCTACTGGAGCCGCCTGGGGAGCTCAGGCTCACACTTCTTGAGGGGACAGTACAGGGCTAGGGTGCCATGGGTAGTGTAGTGCCTAACCTTTGTTCTCTGCACTGGCTCGTTGCCTCCCACTGTTGGCCACAGTGTGTCTCAGTGGCGGAGTGGGCAGTATATTATGCTGTTTTCTTGAGAGGAACTTCATAGCCAATGTCAAAGGCGTGGAGATGTGGAGGGCAGAAGAATTTGGGCCAGCAATGAACTCTGTGGTGATCCCAATGTAGAGCTTTACTTTCCTGGGTAAAACACTCTAACTTAATTTAGCTGGATTTTAGGAGCAAGTTAAAAGTAGCTACTTTGGCTCCCATTTCCTTGGCTTTTCTCACACATTTGGGTGTGTTGTGGTGAGCACCTCATGTGCCAGGAGTCTGAAGATGGGACTGTCTTTAGTCTGACCTTGGGTGAGTCCTTTCATTCCCTGCCCGAAACCTTGACATTATGACACCCACCTCACTCAAGAACACTCAAGAAAATTAAGTCGACAAAAGTGGTTTGTCACCCACAAGGGGACAGGTCAGTGAGAATGCTGATGCCTCTGGAGTCTGGGGCCAGGTACTCACCTCCTTTGGGAAACAAGATTCGGAGAAGTGGGAGGACGCTGGCTTCTCTCTGGGGTGAGGGGCTCTGATAAAGTTTCTTTTTTTAAAAGAGCAGTGCACAAGCAATTCCTTGTTTCTCTTTTGCTCACTGTTATTTTCTAGGAGTTGTAAGAGAGACTTCCAGTAACATGGGAGAATTCTTGAGAAACGGCAGTGCATATAATCTTGGTTTTGGGGAAAAATTCTTATCTTTAGGCTTTGAAGTCCATGTCCTCTGTCTGAATGTAGGTTCATCCAGGCTTATTTCTCTTCCCAAGCTTTATGGCTAGAAAAGCATTACAGAATGGCCCTTGGTCTATTGATTTAGCCTAGCTCCTGGCTGGCTTGCTGCCTGTCTTGAGAGGTGGCACCAGGTGGGACTGTGGTTGACAGTGGTGCCTGTGGGATTCTGCTCAGGCACGGGATGCTCTCCCCAGAGCTCCAGAGGGTGAGCTGCACTGGAGTGAGGTCCTGGCTTGATTTCTCTTCTGACAAGCACAGAGTCGGGGTGCCCACACCAGGGAGATACTCTCCATTCATGTAAATAGTACGGCCTGTGGCAGCCCAGCTGTTATGGGTGGGCGGAGCTCCTGTGCAAAGCAAGAGCTCAGAGTAGCTTGAGCTCCTCGAACTGAACTTCAGAGCACACCTGGAGTGGAGCAGTGCAGGCTGTAGCTGCTGGTCCTAGAATGAACCCAGGTCCTGGGACCCTGGAGTGCACTGCTGTTTGGATGACACCACAGCACAAAATTGTTTGAGGGAAGGGAATTTCAGGATGACTTGGCAAACATCTGTCTTGGGAGAAAGAAGCTACGGTGAGGAATGGATGGAGAACAGAGCCAGCCCCACAGATCTCTGGATACTGGTTAAGAGGCAAAACCCGGGTCCAGGATGGGGGTCTGAAGAGAGACATGTCACCTCATAG